AATTCATTATGTTTTTCGAAATATCATGTCTTTTAGTTAAATATAAGATGTGAAATTTAAATCTTAAATGTTATTTTGAAAAATCTCACGAAACTGTCTCGCATATCGTTGATCTCGCAACAAACAAATGATAGTTTTGGTATTTCACTTTTTCTGACAGCATGTGTCAATGACTATTTTGCAATACAAACTTTTCTCTTTTCTATTTTCTTAATTTCAGTGTTTTATTTGGCTATTCAGTAATAAACTAATAATAATATAAAACCGAGAGAGTTTAATTAACTTCCAATTTAATTCTAATTTTTTGGTTTGATTTAAATAAACCGTAAATGAACCCTAAGTCTATTTAAATGCTAAATCGCAAGAAATTCTATCAATTTTTCCCTAATTTTAGTGGCCACCCAGCTGGCGAAGAGAGGGTGGGAGTTTTTACTTGCTTGTGAGGGAGGAGGAGGTTGAAGCATTGGTAAAGAAAGAGGGAGACAGAACTATCAGAGTTTGGTTGAGAAGAGATTCGACCTAGCAAATCGTTTACAAAGGTTACTGTAACGCCCCGACCGTCCCTACTAGTGGGCCCCATGTCCTCTCTCGGGCCCGTGGGCTCACCCTTGTCCGACGGCTAGTCCACTACGTCCGGGAGGCTTTAAAGATATTTTTACCGACCCTACAAATCACCACATGATATTTCCCTGTATTTTGTCCTTACTCACACAGTTTCGGCAATCACTTCCCGGAAGGTCACCCATCTTGAAACTACTCCAGCCCAAGCATGCTTAACTGTGGAGTTCTCTCAGGACGGTTGATCAAAAAGATAAATGCACTTTGGTGACATAGGTAGCCAAATCAATTCTTTTAAACCTCTCCTAATGCACCACCATATTTCTGAAACCGGAGTGTTACAATTCACCCCCACTAACAAATCGCAAAGTCCTCGTTGCGCACCAAGATCGTCACCCCTGACGGTTTGAGCCCTCTTGACTCCACACTCGTCTAGGTTCGGCTCTGATACCACTTGTAACTCCCCGACCGTCCGTACAAGTGGGCCCCACGTCCTCTCTCGGGCCCGTGGGCCCACCTTTGTCCGACGGCCAGTCCGCTACGTCCGAGAGACTTTAAAGATTTGTTTACCGACCCTACAAATCACCACATAATCTTTCCCATTGTTTTGTCCTTACTCACACAGTTCCGACAATCACTTCCCGGAAAGTCACCCATCCTGCAACTACTCCAGCCCAAGCATGTTTAACTGTGGAGTTCTCTCAGGACGGTTGACCGAAAAGATAAGTGCACTTTTGTGATATAGGTGTCCAAATCAATTCTTTTAAACCTCTCCGCATGCACCAACATATTTCTGAAACCGTAGTGTTACAGTTACGAAAATTTATGGAGTTGTAGCTAAGACTTAGACCTAGATTTACCCCTTTTCATATTTAGTGTTGAGTTAATATTCTAACAGTTATCCGCTATTTCGTGAGATGCTCTATTTCAGACGCGATTTGGACTAGCGTGTATTCATAGTGAGTAAACCTAAGGTCGGATTATCACGAAAATTTAAGGGTAGATTCAGGTCATCTATGGGTTGAGTTTCAACGGTGGAGATTGGAAGTGGACAGTTAGAGTTCAATTCGTGACTCAATCTTTGAGGCTTATCATTTCTGTTTTTGTTTTTTTTTTTCAGATTTGTCCAGTTTAGGTTGAAGGTTGTTTTGGTTGGTTGTAGCTTGAGTTGAACTACTCTTGAGGAGTGGGAAGTCATTTGTGGTTGTGGGATTGTTAGTTTTTATTCTCGAATCATCCTTGATTTGAGGTGAGTGCGTGACCATGAGCTTATCTAAGCGGTTGAGATTGTGTGACTTGTTTGTTGTGATGTATAGGTTGGATTTTTGACGAGTCTAAATTGTGTACATGGCTTGGTTGTGTCGTTGGCATGGCTGTGCATTGGTTTGGTTTTTATTTCATATTTGATGTGTTGTTTGTGGTCTTAATTTGCTCGTGTGTATACCTCGTAAATGGCGAATCGCCTCACTAAGTATTGAAGATGCAACATCTGAGGGAGTGTGTGTACTAACTCAAAGTACCTCAAGAAGTAGTTCAAGAAGAACAGAGCAACGTGAAGCAAACATATGGAAATTAGCAAGTCGGTTTATGGCGGTTGGCTATGGATACTAGAAGCTTGGAGAAGATTCTAGAAGACTGAAGAGTTTCGTTTTCATTAAAGGAAAAAGAAACATGAAGACAAAAGACAATTTCCTATTCCATAAAGAAAAAAAAATTTTCCATTCCAATTAGTTGTAGGATTGGAAATTGGCATGTTGTATGGTCTCGACCTATTTAGTATAAATAGGGTGCTAAGGCTTGAAAAAAAAATTAGCACAAACAAGAGAAATAATTCCTAAGAAATTAAGTTTTAGCTTGAGAGAAAAAGAAACCTAAAGACTTAAAGAGGGCTAAGGGGTTTAAGAGAGAGTTCTTGTTATTGATCGGGGTATGATCAAAGAATAAGAAGATTGAGAGAATAGAAAATAGTGTTAAGGAAAAACCTTGTAAACATATTTTCTATTAATCAAAAGAGTTTTTGAGAAATCATGTGTTACATCGTGTACTAGTTCAAATACTTAATAGCTCTTGTGTTTTCAATTGGTATTAGAGCGTTCACTTGTGAGGATTGCATACAAGTGAGATCTTGTGGAAAAGATGAAGTGCTATCAAGAACTGATTAACAACACCAAGGTTTTTCTAGACGATGGTAACTACGGATTTTGGAAATCAAGAATCAAATTCGTGATAAGAGGCATAGTTGTGTTCGCATGGCAGGCTGTCTTGGTTAAGTGGGAAGAACCAAAGATTAAGAATGAAGATGGAAGTTTCACTACCAAACCAGAATCAAGAATCTTAAAAACACTAAAACACATCGAAACGAATTGTTCTCGACTAAAAGACTCAATAAAATAAGTAACAAAAAACTATAAAATGTGTTAAAAATATTACTTAACAGTCGTGCTTTTTATTACAATGATATATTAGTCTGCATATTTTTTTGGCAAAAAAAATTATTAAGTCGGGTTTTTTCTAGGAATGTTTCCATAATGAAATTAACACCATTTGAAGATTTGATTAGCGCCGCTAACGACCGTTACAACTTACAACGAACAAAAAAAATAGAAAAAGCAAATTAGATAGTGTTAAAAGCAAAAATAAAAAATCATCACTATTCATCCCATTATTAAGCGAAATTTTGGAGCATAGAAAGGAAAGAGATGAGTTGTTAAGGATAAAACAAGATATAAACTTTATATAAAGCGAAGTATTGTAGTTGCGACCATGAGACTTAATAATTTTATTCGTAAGTCAAATTTTGGGGAAGTTTTAAGTTTTATAAACAAATAAAAATTGTTGACAGAAAAACATTAATAAGAGTTTAAACATTAAAAGTTTCTATACCCCGTCACATATTTTATTAGTACTTAAGAGCATCTCCAATGTCCACTTCTATTTTTTCTTCTATTTTAGAGGCAACTCCATTTTGAATTCATTTTACTCTAATGTATACTTCTAAAATAGAAAAAAAATAAAGATGGGCATTGGAGATGATCCTAGAGTAATAATCATGTTTTTATAGCTAAGCTCTTTATATCTAAAAGCCTAAAGGAAAAAGTTATTACCAATCAATCCCACAGTGTTTCATATTCTTTGTGATTCTTTGATTATTTTTCCCAAATACCCCATCTCCGGCTCATTAAGTTTCTCTTCTCCAAGCTTTACCAATATTCGGGTATATCTATCGAATCAGGTTTCACTTACATGATCCAAAATTTGCATGCTTGGGATTTTAGAGGCGATAGAAAATGATTGTTTCAACAGTTTTAATTAAGGGATAGCTAGGTGCCTCTAATTAGTCATGGTTTTGAGTTTCGTATTCTTACCCTCTACAAGAGAATGAACAAAGAAAACACTATTGTTATTGGTTACAAAAGATAGTGATAGAATACGATACCATGACCATGTTTCCTCTGTTGAAGGTTAATTTACATTTTTTGATGAAATTTTGAAATATTTCTTATTATGTTTTTAATGTGGTTCTGTTTTTTTTTCCAATTAGTTTTGTTGATCATAGGTGAAAAAGGCTTCAAACTTTTATCAGTCATGACCTATCCAAAATCCATTTCTTATAAGGTTCCATTTTAAATTTTAAATTCGTTTAAAATTGGTGGAAAAAAAAAAAAGTTTTTGTTTAAAATCAAGCTACAAGATATATGTATAGAGTTATTAGCTATGATCTAGATCTAATGTAATCAAATTTTCATGGTCACATAAAAACCATGAATACAAAAGATTTACTTTTTTTTTCCACTCCAAAAAAATACATATGTTTTTGATAAGTTACAAGTGTGTAACTTTGAAGGGAGGAAGCATGTGGGAGAGCTGAAGTGGATGAAGATGAGACACGTGCAGAGGAAAATTGTGAGGTTGGAGATCTGTAACACACAATTGTAACATAATGAGAACCAATTGAGTAGCCTATTAAATAGATGATAGAAGTAAGATAATCTATATGCGGTGACCACATAAGATTGAAAAATTAGTTCTCTCTCCTCTTCAATTTTATCGTCTACTGTACAATAAATTTAGACTATTTTGCCCTTAACTTCAACATTCATATTTCTCTCTTTTGTCTGGTATCTATGCAAGAAGAAAGAGAGAGTAGATGAGAAAGAAGAAAAGAAATGGTTTGGAGGAAGAAGATCCGGATTGGACAGTATATACAAATGTTGGATGGAGAATCAAAGCTTGAGATTATTTTAATCCTTTCTTGTAGAGAACTGTTATGAGAGTGGATCTTATAAGCATCCCTAGTTTTCTGGGAATTGAAATTGAATTGATGATCGTAGATAAGAATTAGATGAAATTGGCAATTAGGGGGATGAGAACGAGGTAGTGGTCACTACTATTCCGGTGGATCCTTTGATGGAGACGAGAAGTAGTTTGATTTCACCGGAATTATGACACTGCTAGTGGTTACTATTACTACGGTGGATCCTTTGATGGAGACGAGAAGTAAGACGGCGGTTAAAGGAGAAGAGAAGAAGGAAGCAACGTCGCCTGCTCTTAGACTCACGGCAGTGGAATTGTCACAGATGGGGGAGAAGATGGAGCATCTCGGAGACGGTAAAGAGAGTTGTGACGAGAAAATTGAAAAAAACCCAGTAGATTATTTCAAGTTTTCTTTCTCTTATTTGATTTCTGATGTCGATAAAATACTTCTTAACATGTTAATCAAATAGTTATCCACATAAATATTATAATATATGTAACTAGTTATTTGTATATGATATAACAAATGAGTTGCCACGATAAATATAAATTTATTACATAAATTATAAACTTATCGCGATACAATATGGTTTAACATGATATATTTATAAACTTATCGATATATATTATGTTATCATGCTAACCTAATAGATAATCAGTTAACTCATAATATGTTCTTACTTATGTATTTGATTCGTTAGAATCAGATAAAATACGTCGATAACAATTTTATTATATTGCTAAATAATTTGTTATATACGGAGGGGTATTTTTGTCCAATTTATATAAATTGATGAGAGAGAATTAATTATATAAAAACTATAGGTGTATTCTTAATTTATAAGTCTTCTGTGTATTTATATTAATATAGCCCTAGAAGTAATTGTAGAGACTAAGCAATTTATTGATCAGTGTGTTGTAACCAATGTTATGAGTTTCCTAGATGTTAATTAGTAGATATTTAGGATAAATCTCCCTTGTTAGGTTTAAAACCTAACTCATGGGTTTCAAATTTTCCGAATTTTTTTTTTACAGTCTCGAAAACAAGTTTATGTAAACGATGTATGGTATTAGTATTAGTTCATTGGTATTTGCTATATTAAATAGAATGTAAACAAACTTAGTTAGAATTTGTTACTTTGGTTGAATTCCTCTGCCATCCATAATCACTCAAATGTATTGTATCGATTACTAAATGAAATAATTGTGAACTTTATATTCTTTACTTTTAGTAATATAACAAAAAAAATAGTATGCCTTTGCATAGCAGGATTATAATGCTATGACTTTGTGAACATTTAGCAGTATACATAATCATCATAATTTTCTATATGTAATTATAAAAAATTGTGATGATCAACAGTGATTAATGGTGATTGATAGAAACAATAATACCTTAAAATCCAGTAAAACCATTTCAGTGGTTTCAACTGAAGTAGATAAGTATTGCTTCCATACTTAACGATTGTCACTTTAAAGTTGCCTCAACGATGCCATTAGTTAATACAAGAAGAATAATTCGTTCTCTGATGATTAGGAGAGAAATATTCAACTTTCTTATATAGAGAACGAACTGCATAAGGATAAGTTCTTAAGATTTGCTAATTATCTCTCAAAACGATTTGGAAAAATATTTTGCAATATATTTACAAGCTACGATTAATGCTCAATAAGTTGAGATTTAGCTTTTTTATTTACTTTGCGAAAAAAAGGTTTTAATTTACTTTTTTATTAAAAAAAAAATATAACCCGACATAATCTTAAACAATATTAATTTCTGTTCCGATACAATATTTTAACAAAAATTCTCAATGAAATATATTTACAAGCTACGATTATTGCTCAATAAGTTGAGATTTAGCTTTTTATATACTTTGCGAAAAAACGATTTTTATTTACTTTTTTTATTTAAAAAAAATATTATAACCCGACATAATCTGAAACAATATTAATTTCTGTTCCGATACAATATTTTAACAAAAATTCTCGAATAGGATTGTATGTATCTAACAAAACTAGAAGTTCAACTTTTGCCAAACTTTTTTTTTTCTGATAAACAATTTTATCAAACTTTTTTGTTCCTTTTTTTTGATAAACAATTTGTGCCAAACTTATCAAATAAATATATTAAGGATGTTGTAAGTTACAACTTGTAACTAGATAAACGTTTCAGTTGGGTTTCGTTAAGCAAATTGCAGAAAAGGTGACCTAAGTCCATGTCGCTCGTGAATCTTTTACAAGCCTAGAATTTCGTTATCTTCTTTTAACAACTTTTGATTTTTATTTGCAATTTTTTGAAGTTATTTAATGACTTAGAAACGTGTTCTTGCAAAACTCTTTTATTTTATTTCATACATAGTGTGAACTGAACATAGAGACTCAGATCTTAATTTTTGTATAGTAAGCTGTCAATCACCCATCGCTTGCCTCTTACGTCAACTTACAAACAATTTAAGATTTTATAAAAAAGGACCATATAATTTTATTTGGCAATATACCTCAATCAGAATAGGTAAAACGGTGGAAAATTTTATAGTCGAGTTTCGATGAATTTACATGTCATTTTCTTAATAATTTAAAGGTTATGTGCTTAGGCACATACATCTTCTAATGTCAGGTACCAGAGCATGTTTTATGATCTCTCCCAAATGCTAAATGTCATTTTTTCATACGACATATTGTTTATTTATGTATATAGTACATAGTGAATTATTCTTGTAAATTACGACAAATCTTATAGTATTTGGTCATAGTATTTTGACAGTCTTATTAATAATTCATTAATATGACCAAGTTATAATATACATTACAAGAAAACAATTTTATGACAATCGTATTAGTTAGAAATGGTATATTTTGATGAATTTCCGAGAAAATCAAATTCATCGGAATTTACTGGTCAGAGACCAATTTTGTCAAAAATTATTGACGAAAAAATCGTCGGAAATTAATGCATTTTTAATATATTTTTTCTCAAGACCATACGAAATCACGAATCCAAGGTTTTGACATGAGTCCGGTACTGACTAGAAATTTATAACTCATTTCATATATTGGCTGGTGACCAGTCCATGATGTATAATAAAGGTCTTGACATAGCAGAATGAATATGGCATTTATATACATGATCACTGTGATCAGATCACATATCTTATCCCTTTCAAATCTCAATGAGAAAAGTCATGCTAATGAAAGAAGAAAAAAAAGGGTTGAAAACTCTTTCGTATTGTGGCTTTCAGAAAAAGTAGAACGCCTTAAACTCGCTGTAAAGTGAACTTGTTGGGCATGATTCTCACTCCTACTCTAGTCATCAATGCAACTATGAACATATCACGTATGCATGTAATCTTATATATATAAAAGATAAAATATGAACTTCAAAGTATATGCATTATTGAAAAACAACGAGAAGATACGCAGTCCTTGCAAGGCCAATCGAACGAGGGAACAATGGTATGTATATTTGTTGAATTATACATAGTAAACAAACGTAGATTAGGGTATCTTCTTGCCTAGTTCTATAGTCTAATTTACTCTCATTACACCACAATGCGTGTTATCAGGGGCGGACCCAGCCAAAATATTTATCCGGTGCAAAAAATGTTGTAAAGAGGAATTGAACCCTCCACCTCATATTTAAGGGGTGCAGTCTTTACCACTAGACCACTTTAGATCAATAAATGCTATATATAATCAAAACATTTTATATTTTAACCGGTGCAACTGCACCCCTCTTCCCTAACGTGGGTCCGCCCCTGCGTGTTATTGAATTGCACGGATAACCTTGTTCTTAAGTTTTATAGAACTCTATGTACTATATGATGCATCATTTGGTGAATCCTAAATATCCTACCTCCTCGCAAGGTAGGATAAGGGACAATTATGCTAGTCAAAGTTTATGAACAACATGATATTAATTTTGATAGAACTATACGTTAGTATTCTATCAATTGATTATGTAATTGGTGATATAGCCAACTAAAATAGTTAAGTAGTATTTTAGTTTCATAACTTCATCTTCATATGAACAGAATGAAAGGATTCTTCGAAAGGCCTTCTCTGATGTTTCTTTGGAGAGAAAACGAAATATAAGCGAAAAAGACGAGCAAGAACAAGACCGAGAGCTAGAAGTGAAGCAAGTGAAATGTGATTGTTGTGGTATAGAAGAAGAATGTACTATGCAATACATAGACAAAGTTAAAGACTTGTATTCAGGCAATTGGGTTTGTGGTCTTTGTGCCGTAGTGGTCACTGAGAGATTTCGGAAAGATCCCCCTACAGCCACTGGGATACAAGAAGCCTTTGACTGGCACAAAGGAATTTGTGATGCCTTCAATTCTACTACAAGAGTGAACCCTAAACTCGATTTCGCACGGTCAATGAGAGAGATCGCTAAACGAAGCAGTCAGAATAGGATGTCCGACTTTTCGTTAGGTTCCAAAATTGCTCGAACAATCAGTTGTGACCCAAGGCTCGAGACTTGAGCAATGATAAAGACCCTGAGAAAAAAAAAATTATGTAGACCCAAGCTCTAGTTATTCTTAAATATTTATTAATTAAGAAAGAAAAAGTAAATAAATTTATTATTAATTAGCAAATGATCAATTGAAAAATCTACTTTCAATTTTAAAAATTATTTTATTTTAATTTAATTATCTATTTCGAATAGTCAGTAAAAAATTACTGACCAATTACCAACCACTAATATAGCCATTTGCAAGTGTTTGTAGCCATTTTCTTAATTTCCGACTCCAGTATTTCATTTGGCAAATTAACTATAAAACGAAAATGTCAATATTTTAGTGGACCATTCAAGGCCGACATGGATACCAGTACTGTTAAAAAGCACAGACTTTAGATAGCAAAGTAATTAAAATGAAGACAAAAGAAGCAACACAATTAAGTCGATACTCTTTCTCTCTAATCAATGTCATAAAATTAGATTTAGTCTATTACTCACTAATTTAATTTGATAAAGTAATTAGTAGTGACTACTTTGGACCACTTGTTAACAACACAATGAGACCTACAATCAATGTGTAAAAAAAGAAAGGAAAAAATATGGCTGGCTACACGAAGTATCCGCGAAGACATGACCACACATACAAAGTTTAATAATGGATCATAAACTACATGAATTATATGTATCGCATGCCCACATATACGACCTATATGTAGTCATGTCGCCAACATCACGAACATTTTTTTCCGGTACACTTTATCAAAACTAACTAATTATAAAAATCAATGCATTGAATATATAAAAAAAATATTTTTATATTTAATATTGTATATAATTTTTAATTATATAATATTATAAATGATTCAATAACATAATTTTCTAAATATTAAAAAACTAAAAAAAAATTTTTTTTTAATATTTATGTTGGTCAACGCCGGTCAACGCCGGCCAAACTGGTTAATACCAGATTCCGGCGAAAATGTATCGGAAAAAAATGTTTGTAATGTTGGCAACATGACTACATATAGTTCGTATATGTGGGCATACGATACATATAGTTTGTGTAGTTAGAGATACATTTTTAAACTTTGCATGTGTGGCCATTTCTTCGCGGATACTTCGTGTAGCCAGCCATCTTTTTTTCAAAAAGAAAGAGACATCTTCTCCAGAGGAAACGGGTCGGCTCTACGTCACTCGTCCCTCATCAACCATCACAGGCTCATAGCAAGAATCTTTTTCGTGTCTTGTTTTTATTGGTGTTTGAACTTAGAACGGTTAAGTTCAAAAATACCATCTTTTGCAAATGGTTCTTAGGGTTTAAAAACGTAAAACCAAAATAAATCCAACAGTATATTCGATTAGAAATAAAATACCTAACTACTTATACCAAAATAAATCCAACAGTATTTTAGCTTCTCTCCAGTCATATGCTGCCTCTAGAGCTTTTAACGCTACAAAAAGTATTGTGGTTGTCTTGCATCGTATTTCTCATTTACTTTTTTATTATCATTGTTTAATAATTATGGCCGGATTTTGCAATAATTTCCTTTACAATCAAACAACATAGCGTTATAATTTCTAGAAACAAAATAAATAGTATAAAATATTTTTCTCAAACAAATTTATTTGATTTTTGAATTAAATCTCTATACTATTAAAAGAGAAGTACAAATGAAAATGGGTCGGGTTAAAATCAGAAAATTGACCCGAAATTCTGAAATCGGATCTTTGAAATTTTTTTGGAATATAAATTCGAATTAATAATGAAAAATCGAAATAAAATCAAATATTTATGGAAATCAAATAAAATCTGATTGTACTTATGGTAACTAATAATAAAAGCATATTCCAAACAATATTATACATTAATTACGTATAATAAATTTGTTCATATATTTTTGGGACTAATTCCATAACAATCAACGTTTTTGTCATTAATTTCGCTCATTTTAGCCAATTATCATTAATTGAAAGATATTTTACTTGCTTCTAAAGATTTCTAGAAAATTTATCATAAATAACCCATCTGTTTTATAAATTAAATTGATATTTTTATTTTGGTCGTGTAAATTAAATAGATATTTTTATTTTGGTCGTGTAAATTAAATATATATGAAATCCATGTAACTAATTTTAATTTAATTAGATTAAATCGAAATTATGATATTTTCATACCTATAACTTACCAAAGAAGTTTAATTTTCAATTTATAAAGATTTCTTGAATATGATTTTAGAATTATTCAACAAGATGATAAGTATTTATTAAATTTTGTGAATCATGAAAAATAACAATTAATTTTTAATCATTATACTTCATCTTTCAATCTCTCATCTAACAAATAAGATACATATTCTATTATTACTATGTCCAAACTTCATTTTGTTGTATGACTAAATAATATTCTCTTTAGAACTGTCAAACCGAGTTGATTCGTCCCGTTAAGTCCATTTTGCGATAGACAAAAAATATTTTGACTTGTAGTTAGTCGGTCCGCACGACTCGCGGGTAGCATATATGAAATACAAACCCGTCCCGCGAATGTATGCGGATTTGCGAGATTGTCCATGGATTTTGTTTAAATAATTTTAAAGTAACCAAAATTTAAAATACTACTAAAATAAATAAATAAATCAAAATACTATTAAAAGTTTGTTTAAATTACCACATGTTGAATAAATTATAATTTTATCAATAAATACTAATATGCGGGCTGATCCGCCAACCCGCGGATGAAAACCGATTAAACCTATGACCTACTGCAAATTAATCCATGTGGTCCGCTTATTTGCGGGTTTAATATATTTTCCCAAATATGCCCTATAGTGAGATGATGTGGGATGGACCCGCGGTTTTTGACCTATTTTGACTGCTCTAATTCCCATGAATCGTCTAATTTTAGAATTTTAAAACACAAAATTCTATTTTGTAAATCATAATTATTACGATGGGTATATTTATAAACAATTTTACATTTTCTCTACAATTCGTTATTATGAATATTTATAAGTATACTACACGATTCGTTCTACTAAAAAACACACACAATATTAAACGCAACATATGTAAACCAATATTCTCCCGCGGTAGACCGCGGGTCCGATCCTAGTTGTTTATTATTCTTTTTTTTTGTCGACTAAATTTATTATTAATTGTAAATTATGAGAACTGTTACATAGACGATTCTACAACTGACAATTCCTTCCGACCCTTACTAGATTCACGACAGACTACACTTCCTTCTTCGTAATCTTGATGAATACCTTCAATGATCCACGACCTGGCAACACTTCCTTCTCTGCGTAGAATCCTGGCGAACGGCTATAATTGTACATCGCTGGAGATCTCTTGCACACTTGCCTCCATTAATCTGCAAATTTGATAATAAATCGCAATATCTGGGACTCGAACCCCAAACTTTTTGGTGTAGAAGCATTAATCAACCCTTGGTCAACCAATGGGCCAATGGGGCTTCCACAGTTGTTTATTATTCTAATAGTCTAAACGTTTTTTTTTTAAATAGTCTAAACGTTGTTATGTATGTAATATGTATGCATGAGACCTAATTGTTTTGTAAAAGTAGGTGGCCTAACTAAATGGAGTAAAATTAGCCGAAATTACAACATTTTTTTTTTCTTTAAAATTTCGGTCTGAGGCAACTTCACTTTGCTGAACTAAACAATTGAGTTCAATTTCTTGACATATCTCTTAATCTCATTATACTGTTTACATAAAACATATAATATATATATATATATATATATATATATATATTTGTTCTTATTATGAAGATACAATACAACTTTGATTTTATCATAAAGGCTACAATAGTTAGTATGAATATTTAGATCACTGCTAAATAACTCTCTAATTCTCAATGTGTTTTCAGTATTTTATCGATCCTATTGAGACAATGTGTCTTGAATTCGAATATGTTTCTAATAAAACAAACAAAAACTATTAAAAAATTAAGGTGTCCATCGATAGTTCCATTTGGCATCGATTGATAGCCCCTTCAAAAGCAACACGAGGCAAAAGTAGTGTTGAAGAAATTGGTTGATAGCCTTATAAGTGTCGATCGAAAAGACCTATGATACGAAACAAGGCCAAAACCTAGTGTCGACGAAATCGTTCGACACCCTCTTGAGACGAACCAGGCCCAAGACCTTATGACAGCCTACTCGAACAATACCTTCCTTGGTGTGATGGTGTCAATCGTCAATCTTCCCGTGAAAGTTTATTTTTCCGAATTTCAGTATTTTCGCCCCAGAACCTTAATTAAATGAATTAAAAAAAATGAATATAGATTTTTTTTGAGTGAGAGGTAAAGACCAAAAGTTGACCCCATGTGCCTATTTATACTTTTTTTCTGCCACATGTTTGGATTTAGATTTATTGAAACTTAGGGAAACAAATATCTGATTCTACTCGATTGGAGAAAATTCTAACGATATTTGACATGCTTTTACACACTTTCCTAATGATATTTGATATGCTTTCTCTAATCTTTTTGGTTTATTTAGCCTGTTTTTCTAACTTTCAATCTTCTTTTAGTTTTTCGTTTTCTTAGGCTCTAATTAGTGGTGGATGTAGAAAATAAACATTTTTTTTAGTTTTTTTTGCACTTACAATTCTTAGGGTGTGACGGGTAAAAGGTTAAAAAAAAACTAAGGAAAAAAGCTAGAAGAAAAGAAAACCAAAGTTTGAGAGAATTTTTTTTACCATGTATTAATGGGAAATTTGCAAGTTGTTACGCCACTTTTTTGAAGAACTAGGATGAAAGAAATATCTATATTTTACTTAGATTATTTTAAGTAGAAAATAGAATAATTATAGTTATTCTCTTTATATTTCTTATATAAGGTATATACTACCGGTCACACCCTTGTTTTTTTGTTGTAGAAGAATTTGTTTTTCTAGTATTTGATAAATATAAGAGAAAAAGTTACACCAACTTTGCCACTTATATGTTAACTAGTGAGTTTTTAATTCTAAGGAGGATTGTTTAGTTTGGTTTTCTTAATTGAGATGTTTTGATGATTAACTTGAAAACAGTTTTTCATATTAGATAACCAAATACACATTTTTATTTTAGTATACTTATGTGTGGTTGATAAAATAAAATAAAGTTTAATTGAAAATTTGTTTATAGATACTCTATCTTAGCCTTCTCAACTAATAAATAAGTTGGTAAAATTATGTAAATTCACAGACACGTATAATTGTGTAACTAATCAAGAATTTTCGTTTTTCTTGTTGAAGAATTAAATTAATTTCTCTGAATTTTTTCTTTCTTTGGAGAAAATAATCTGTCAAGGTTTTCATTAATATCTTTTTGATTCTTTCCAGGGCTGCTTCTTATATGTTCCCGCTTATGTAACGACGTGTTTATAGTGTTGTCTATATATTTGATAAGGGATATATGTACCTTTATTTGGATATTCTTAGTTTAGATCAGTCTATTTAGGGAGGGAAAATGAAGTTGGAAATATTTCATTAACTTAAGGAATAAAACAAAAAGAAGAGAACAAGCGTGGGGTGGGAGAAAGTGGGCGTGTGGGGAAATTACAAAACCCTAGAAAATGGAATTAAGCAAAGCATGCCCTTCCACGACAATGACCACTCTCTGTATATTCCTTCCATTCAATTTATTCTTTTTGTTTATGGGCCCATTTTCCCTTTTCGATTAGTTCTCGATGTGCGTTTTGGTGGTATAAGTCCATTGCAAATCTATACAAGTTCGATATGATAACCACATAGATGTAACGCAAAACATTTTTTTCTTAACTTTGGGAGTGTAACTCATAATTCTTTGGAGCCAAGAATAAGAGATATTCAATAGATCTCTTAGGAAGAAAGTAAGAAAGTATCTAAAGATTAAAAAAAAAAAAACAGGAGAGAAAAGGAGAAACATATATATCTCGTTTGAGAGACTTAAAAATTTATATGAGAAACCCTTCCTCCATATGTCTTTTTCTTACTAGTCAATTTTTTAAACATTAAAATATTCAATATTTTAATTTTAAGAAACTCAAAAGAGTTTCTCATCAATGAGAGTGATTTTAGTATATCATTAGACATTAGACCATTAAATAGTTAAATATGTTCAAAAACATTATGTATATATATTCTTCCTAGTGTGTTCACCTCTACCCACTACCGCTTCTGCGATTCAAGCCGCTTTGGATTTTGTGCCATCAGAGACCGTTTTCTTACTTCCCAGGATCTTCCTCTTCCTCGGGTTCTCTTCTTGCTTTCTACTTTGGTTGCATCTCTTTTTTTTTTTTTTTTTTTTTTTATATTCGTCCAATAAATTTTATAACCATGACTAATTTTTTTATTTTATGATGAAAAATATATACATAAAAATATTATATAGAAGATCTCAATTTAACTAGGCATGATTAAATACAAATGCTTTTCAACGTTCACATAAGATGTTTTAGTCACAAGAAAAAGTGTTTTCATTTTCTTCAGTCAAAAGAACATTTCGATAGTAAGCCGACAAAAATCTCAGAAGCTTTTTGACGACATCAATCCCATCCTCATCTGTCCGTGTTCAAACGTCCGATTCCAAAAAAAGTGGTGGAGAAAAATAAAGTAACAGTGATATTTCTATGATTACTCGCATTAGTTCTTAGGATAACAATCATAATCTGATTATCTTCCCCTAAAAATTAATTTATGATGTTAGTGTTTTTAGCATGCTATTTTTTAGATATATGACTCTCTTATACAATTTCATTAGCATTTTCAACGTAATATCAGCTAGTAGTTTCTAATATGGATTCACAATGAACTGATTTGGTCCATCCGGCAACATAGACGGTCTCATCCCCTGTTTTTTAGATGCGGCGGACTTTGTTGTTTGTGGGAATCGAACATAAATGTAAGCTAATATACATACATACATTATATATATATATACATACATACATACAATATAGTTGTCTATTTCTGTATATGATAAAATAGAATTTTCATAGCAAACCACTTTAGTTTCTAATATAAAATATGATATGTCATATATTATTTTAGATCGAAAATTTTTTATTGTTGAAATATTTTTTCTTATTTTGGTAACCTATAAGTTTATTTTTTTTAATATGTGTATTATATATAATCCTGATAAAATTTAAAACTAAGAAAATATTGACACCAACGAAATTGAAAAAAAAAACAAAAAAAAATTACGTTGGAGAATACAAATACAATTAACCTAAAACAAACCAATAAAGTTTTCTCTAACACTAAGTTGAATACAATCAACCCCAAACAAATTAATAAGCCAAAAAGTTTTTTTTAGTGAATAATATCTATATTAAAAAAATCAGCCATAATTTAAGGTGCCAAAGTGCTCGACACCTTTTGTGTTTCTTTCTATTTTAAAATTTATACTTTGGTAATATTCCCCTTTTTGTAGCCCATCCTAGCACTTTTTATCCCTTTTCCATCTAGTACAAAGAATAATGCACATTGCCTTTCTTATCAAACTCTCTAAGATTTTATACATACGAAGGAAAAATTAAAAGATTTTGAAGAAAAAAAAAGAGAAGACAAAGAAGACTATTATAATCTTTCTAATCGAAGGTCATCATTGATCCCCCTTTAATATATATAATTTTTTTCCTGTTTTACAGCTAAGGTTCAAAGCAAATCACAATCCTTAAGAGCAACACACTCAACACAAAGATCATATATACATACATATCCAATAACCTCATGTAATAATAGAGCAAAGCCAAAGAAACAAAAGCAAACATGTCTACTTCTCATCATCATCATCACCCTCCATATCTCATTACAACATTATTCTTCTTGTTTCTTAACTTCTCTTGCCTTCATGCAAATGAACTCGAGCTTCTCTTATCATTCAAATCCTCAATTCAAGACCCTCTAAAACACCTCTCTTCTTGGTCTTATTCTTCAACTAATGATGTGTGTCTTTGGACAGGCGTCGTTTGCAACAACTTCTCTCGTGTTGTCTCTCTCGATCTCTCCGGCAAGAACATCTCAGGCCAAATCCTCACATCCGCTACTTTCCGGCTACCTTTTCTACGAACTATCAACCTCTCAAACAACAACTTGTCCGGTCCAATCCCTCAAGATATCTTTACCACTTCGTCTCCTTCTCTTCGTTACCTCAACTTAAGCAACAACAACTTCTCTGGCTCGATCTCTCGAGGCTTTCTTCCAAACCTCTACACGTTAGATCTTTCCAACAACATGTTCACCGGTGAAATCTACAACGACATCGGATTTTTCTCTAACCTTAGAGTCCTCGATCTCGGCGGAAACGTCTTGACCGGCCATGTACCGGCCTATCTTGGTAACCTCTCAAAATTAGAGTTCTTAACATTGGCTTCAAACCAGTTCACCGGAGGTGTACCAGCGGAGTTAGGGAAGATGAAAAACTTGAAATGGATATACTTGGGATACAACAATCTCTCCGGAGAAATCCCTTACCAAATCGGTGGCTTATCTTCTCTCAACCACCTTGATCTTGTCTACAACAATCTCTCTGGACCAATACCTCCTTCACTAGGAGACTTAAAGAATCTTGAGTACATGTTTCTCTACCAAAACAAGCTCTCCGGTCAGATCCCACCGTCCATCTTCTCCCTCCAAAACCTCATATCTCTCGACTTTAGCGATAACTCGCTCTCGGGAGAGATCCCTGAGCTCTTGGCTCAGATGCAGACCTTGGAGATTCTCCACCTCTTCTCCAATAACTTAACCGGAACAATTCCAGTAGGAGTAACTTCTTTGCCACGTCTTCAAGTTCTTCAGCTTTGGTCCAACAGATTTTCTGGTGGAATTCCCGCGAATCTTGGGAAACATAACAACCTCACTGTTCTTGATCTTTCTACCAACAATCTCACCGGAAAACTCCCTGACACTCTTTGTGACTCTGGCCATCTCACTAAGCTCATCCTCTTCTCTAACTCTCTAGACGGCCAAATCCCACCGAGTTTGGGCGCGTGCTCGAGCTTAGAACGTGTGAGGCTTCAGAAAAATGCCTTCTCAGGCGATTTACCTCGAGGTTTCACCAAGTTGCAACTCGTTAACTTTTTGGACTTATCAAACAACAACCTCCAAGGTAACATCAACACATGGGACATGCCACAACTTGAGATGTTAGACCTCAGCCGGAACAACTTCTCCGGTGAATTACCTGATCTTTCGAGAAGCAAAAGACTCAAGAAGCTCGATTTATCAAGGAACAGAATCTCTGAAATGGTTCCGCTACGGCTCATGGCCTTTCCGGAACTTATGGACATGGATTTAAGTGAGAACGAGATCACTGGAGTGATCCCAAGTGAGTTGTCTTCTTGCAAGAATCTAGTGAATCTTGATTTGAGCCACAACAATCTCACCGGGGAGATCCCTTTGAGTTTCTCAGAATTCCCAGTTCTCAGCGATCTTGATTTGTCGTGCAACCGATTATCTGGCGAGATTCCGAAGAATCTAGGAAATATTGAGTCTCTTGTTCAAGTCAACATCTCTCATAATCTTCTTCACGGAAGCTTACCTCCAACCGGAGCTTTCCTTGCCATAAACGCAACAGCAGTTGCGGGTAATATCGATCTTTGCAGCTCAAATTCCGCTAGCGGTTTACGTCCTTGCAAGGTTGTAAGAAAGAGAAGTACAAAGAGTTGGTGGTTTATCATCACTTCAACCGTTGTAGCTTTCTTGGCTGTCCTTGTCTCTGGTTTCTTTATCGCTCTCGTCTTTCAAAAAACGCGTAACGTTTTGGAGGTCAAGAAAGTGGAACAAGAAGATGGTACAAAGTGGGAAACTCAATTCTTCGATTCAAGATTCATGAAATCTTTTACGGTGAACGCGATTCTATCGTCTCTTAATGAACAAAACGTTCTTGTGGATAAAACCGGCATCAAGTTCGTTGTTAAGGAGGTCAAGAAGTATGATTCTCTTCCCGAGATGATATCCGACATGAGGAAACTTTCTGAGCACAAAAACATTCTTAAGATAGTTGCGACGTGCCGGTCGGAAAAAGAGGCCTACTTGATACACGAGGACGTCGAAGGGAAACGGCTTAGCCAGATTTTGAATGGTTTGAGTTGGGAGAGACGGAGGAAGATTATGAAGGGAATCGTAGAAGCTCTTCGGTTTTTACATTGCCGGTGTTCTCCAGCGGTTGTTGCCGGTAATTTATCTCCGGAGAATATTGTCATCGACGTCAAGGATCAACCAAGGCTATGTCTCGGTCTTCCGGGCTTACTTTGCATGGACTCTGCTTACATGGCCCCAGGTATAACTACATCTCTTTGTCACAAAAAAAAAAAACCAAATTCAATTATTCAAGTTTTAGAATAACGGCTTTCCATATATTGAAACCCATGTTAAAAACAAATTGTTAATCCTAGAATTCGCATTCGTTTTTTTCGTTCTTTTATTCCGGTCACGTTTTGGAAAATAGACTCTGAATAGAACCAAAAAATTAATACAGTAAACGTTTTGAACTGTCGACTTATTTTACGTTGATTTATTAATACAGTAGATTTTTTGAACTAACGACTTATATTTTATTTTAATCGATTTAATTTTTTTCTTCTCTATCGACTTATATTATAACAGTCGACTTATATTTGGTTAATTGATTTTTTACATTGTCGACTTTTCAAAAATGCTGATTTTTTTTTAAAATGGTATACTTATTTTTGGTTATAATTTTAAAATAATAATTTAATTTAAAACAATTGAATTTAAGTTATATAATTATATTTGCAATTAGTATGAAAGAAATATACTGTATTTAATATATACTTTTTGAAAATTTTGACTAAATTAATAAAAATGCAAAAACATATTTTTGAATTTTATATATTTTAAGTTTGTAAGTAATATTAAATAGACTCTAACTTAGTTTTCCTTTTTGTAACGAAGAAACGAGAGAGCGCAAGGAGATGACAAGTAAAAGTGACATCTATGGTTTTGGAATCCTCCTCCTTAATCTCCTCACCGGTAAAAACTCCTCCGGTGATGAGGACATAGCATCTGAAGTTAACGGAAGTTTGGTCAACTGGGCTAGATATTCATATTCGAATTGCCATATCGACACGTGGATCGACTCATCCATCGACATGTCAGTGCATAAGCGCGAGATTGTCCATGTTATGAACTTAGCTTTGAACTGTACGGCCATTGATCCTCAAGAGAGGCCTTGCACCAAGAACGTGTTACAAGCATTAGAGTCTACCTCATCCTCAAGTTCTTCTTGCACTACTTATTTTTCAAAGATACCATCGTTGGCCTGACAATTTTGGCTTCGTTTGACCCGTTATGTAATTTTACTAGGGTTCCTTTGTTCTTGTTTTTTTTTTTTGTTTTTAAATTTCATTTTCTTGCTCTTTTTATTAGGTTTAATAACCCAAATAGATTGTCTATCGAGATGGTTTTGTTTATATTATCTTGATTGTTTACTAATGAGTGTAAACGAGTATATATAATATATGATGTGAAGAATGGTTTAAACATCTTCTATGCATGTTTTTTTTTCGGGTGGACCGGGTTGACGGATTTATTCTAAAATGTGACTAGTCTAGCAAAGATTATGCAATGTAGCGTCTCTATTCATTTGATAAGTGACATGTAACGATGTAATGTATGTTAGACCATCTTTAACAATGAGATACTCTTTTTGTTTTTCAAATCAATAAATTATTAGTATTTTAATAAATATCAATTATATAATTATTTTTAATCACAAATATAAAATTGAACCAATAGATGATAAACAAATGTCCTAGTGGCTTTCTCATTTGAGAAACTCTTTCATTTCTCTTTCTTATTTTTCAAAAGAAAAAAAAAAAAAAAACTTTTCAATTTTTTATTTTTATTTTTATAATAAAAGGTTTCTTGAGAAAACCATGGAGATGCTACAAGTTCATTACATGGGACGGTACCGGTCCGATTCTGTCTTTGAGAAAGGGTAACCTGGTTTGTCTCGGGTCGGATCTAAGCCGTTTTTCTTTCCGCCTTTAAAATCGTTTATTCCATTATGGTAGACCAACCCGTTAAAGAATAAGTTACAATAGCACTACTGTCATCGTCATCTTTATGAATCAACTAAGAAATAATGATAAAATAATTACAAGAGATAATTAAATGGGAGGATAGAGTCGAGTCGAGTCGATAACTTTAATGAAATTGTACTTAAAACATGAAATTTCGACAATGTGTTCAAAAGATATTGAGGAACAAAACGAATAGCCAATAAGAAAAGGACTTAACACTTGCACCCACTTTGGTTTTTAAATTTGTCATCATTGTTCCTTGTTTTGTTTTCTTTATTTTCTACTTTCCACAATTTAGTTTATGTTTTGTATGTGCATGTTTGTCTATATATAAATTCTTTTTGCTTGCAATGATGGGAATGAGAAGATCGAAAACCTTTTCTTTTCTCTTTTGCATCAAAGGAGAGATTTTGTTCATATGATTTCTGCAAACTTTTAGAGGTAGCCATTTGTAATTATGTTTCTATATATTAGAAACTAATATTGACCAAGCCATAGACTTTTATTTATCAAACTAATCACTTCTATTCCACTCGCTTATTGATAGTTTATTTCAGACAAAAGTTTTTTTTGATAGACGAACGTTAATAAAAAAACAAAGATACCAATGGCTTCTTTGTGTCTTTTTCCATCAAAGTATACTTCTTCCATTGATTTATTTTCCTTTTTGGCCTTTTTCACAATGTTGTTTGTTTAGAAGACTTCGGTATTCCGCAAAAAATATCAAAAATGAGATAAAATTTAACATTTTACCTCAAAAAAGAAAAAAAAATCATGCAGAATAATTTCATGATTTTCTGACCATATATCATTGGCAAAAAGCATCGCTAAAGCATTGGAAACGTTTTCATGGGTTATGAAATTATTGAATTACCAAAGGATATATCATAATTTATATCAATGACATTTATATTGATAATTAACAATAATGGTTTACAAAATAAAATTACAATTAGCAAAATTTTCTATATTAAATACTAAATAAACTTTGTGTCGTTTGACTAGTCTATTGTATCATTTGAGCCCATAAATTGTAGTTTCCTTACACTCTTCTCAAGTCTAACCCAATAATTATCGGAAAAAATGTCAGTTTACCATTTTCGTTGGTTTACCCTTCTAGACGAGTTTGGTTTGCTACGTGTTTCCTTTTCTTCTTTCTCACTTTCCCTTATTTCTCGTTCTTGTAATTTAAAAGCGGACTGTTTAGCGCGCTCTTCTAGACTTTTATTTTCTGAAGCTACTTTTGTAAACATTTCTCCTCCTAGTTGGGCAACCAAGGAATTTTTTAATAAATGTGTGGTTGACAAAAAAAAAAAAAAAACATGAATTCTGGACCTAGTGATTTAAATCCCCAATTTTATGTGGACCTAATGACTTAAATCCTCAATTTTATGTTGACTTTCAATTTAATCACGAATTCTCGTTGACTAAGCCAATTAAGACATATTGTTAACTGGCTAAACAGAGACGTCCTCACATAGTTTTTGAAGAGGAAGATGAAAACTATGTTGGTGTAGAAAAAAAATTATGCGATGGCTTCGAAATACCAGTTATGCGATGACATCGTCTTATTGATCTGTTTAGCCAGTTAACGATGTGCCTCAATTGGCTTTGTCAACGAGAATTCATGATTAAAATGAAAATCAACATAAAATTAAGGATTTAAATCACCATGTCTGAAGTTCATACTTTAGACCAATGAAAATGGTAAACTAATGATTTAAATGATATTTTTCCCAATAATTATTACTCAGGAGGGTGTCCTATATATATATATATATATATTTGTTATAAAACCCTTTTAATATCAATGTTCAGCATTGGCTAGAGAAGAATTGCTTATCTAGATCTTTTAAGCATTTAAACAAATACTTTTAGTGTGTTAAACTATCTAGAATCTAGAAGTCTCTAACACACCAAAAATCTAAGTAGAATGAAATACTTTTGGTCGGTCCGTTACCTCCGGGAGGCTTTAAAGACTTGTTTACTGATCCTATAAATCAGCACATAATTTTTCTCTGTGTTTTATCCTCACTCACACAGTTCTGATAAGGAAAAAATAGCGTTTTGTCCTCGTTGCCATCATGTCGTTTAAGTGAATGAAAACAAATGTTTGACTAATTTTGTTTAAGTCAATGTAAGTTTACGCTCAAATTTAATAGTCTGGTAGTATTATTCTGCTAACGGAATGTTAACCCCGTGATCGTTCTGTTAACTGAATTCCAACGGCATGTCTGAAATGGTCAAGTCAATAAAACTTGATCATTTTATCAAAAGTTCAAACCAAACTTTACGATTTAAATGACATTTCGAAAGTTTATGCTTTTTTCGTCTCAAATTTGAAAGTTCGCGTATTTTTCGAGATTTTTTCCAATAAAATGTTCATGCTCTTTTAAACAAATTTTTTTTGAAAACAATATACATGTTTAAAACTTTAATGAAGACTAGATTTTAACCCGCGGTACACCGCGGGATGATTTATTTTTAAAATTTAGTATATATAAAATTTTGTAAATTGTATCTCCTTTTATAATTTACAATTATTATTAAGTAACGGTATACCACGAGTTCACGAGACAATTGTTGATAAACTCAGGGCCGGTCCTCGGGTTTTGGTGGCCTAAAGCATACTTAAATAATATATTTTTATATAAAAATTAATGTTAAAAATTTGTCATTTAAATACTAAAATATATATAAAAATTCAGTTTTGTTTGAAGAAATTAAGAATATTATAAGACTTAGTAGCCAAATTATAATAAATAAATAACAATCTTCTCCCACTTCACAAAATAGAAAGAATAAAACACGTGGTAACCAGAAAAAAATAAAGAGAACCGACCAAAACAGAGGGAAAAAAAAAGAGAAACAAAAAGTGTAGAAGTTAAGACTAAAAATGGGGCAAATAACCAACAGACTAAAGGAAACTTCTCAGATATGTTGCCCTAACGTTTTACTTATATTTTGTGGCCCAAAGCAAATGCTTTGGCTGCCTTATGGGTGGGCCGGACCTAGATAAACTGAAGATTTAACCCGAATTAAAACGGCATGTTCTTTTAAAACTTTTTAAATATTGATTCAAACCCGTCCACCATATAAACCCGTTTTGAAATATAACCCGTCCCATGATTTGTTTTCTAAAAGTAGTGATTTTAAAATTTAATGATTATATATTATATATAAAAGTTTACAAAATGTATAATTTTCTAAGACATTTATATTTTAATAAACTGAGGATTTAGTCTGTATTAAAGCGGCATGTTAATGATATTTTAAAATTTTATAAATATTGATTCAAACTCGTCCATCATATAACCCCGTTCCGAAATATAACCCGTCATGTAATTTCTTAACCCGTCCCGTGATTTGTTTTCTAAAAATAGTAATTTTAAAAATTTAACGATTATTTATTATATATAAAAGTTTACAAATTTTATCATTCTCTAAGACATTTATATTTTATAATTTACAATTGTTATTAAGTAATATTATACCACGTGACAATTTTTGGTTTTATACAATCTTTTCTAAATGAAACTGATTTGATATGTCTAATATTAGTGGTATTTTAAAAAATTATGGATTTAATATGTATTGAAACGGTGGATTAATGATATTTTAATTTTTTTTTATTGATTCAAAAACCTGTCCTGCCAAACTCGTCCCGCCAAAAAACTCATTTATTTTATTAATGTTGAACTTATTTATGATATGATTCTGAATCATTGTCTAAATATTTTAGTCGATGTGGAACGTTGAACACACATTTTTCGTCAATTGGATAATATATGTCCGTTTTAAAAATTTCAAATCACAGTATATGCAGACAAAATAATTGATTTTTATTTTATTTTATGTATTATATGATGATTCAAAACAGTTAAAAACAAATCAAATAAATATGATAGGAGAATCATAATTATAAATCTTAATTAAATCTTCTGAAAATCTAAATTATTAAATATGGAATATCCGGTGGATGAGTTGAGTTAAATATAACCCGATCCAAGTAATTTTTTGTGAAGGAATTTAAAAAACGGGTCGGATATCCGATTAACCCAGAAGCATTTTTACCCACCCGTCACCAAAGTGTTACAAAAATACTAGTATAGATATGCTTCGTTACGAAATCCCAATAATAAGACCCTTATTCCACGGATCGAATCAGCCTTTCGCATAAAGTTTATGTTTATGCTTTGTTGTGTTTCATTTGCTTTTGTTTTGTCAAAGATGTGGATTTGCTTTGAGATTAAATCATTGTTTAAATCATGGATAAATGTAGAAAGGGACGTAACGTAACAGCTAAGTGAGCATGTTCTTGGAGACCATGCAAAAAGCCCTTTGGTCAAAAATGTTCCTTTTTGTTTCCTTTTTCTCTATAGCTTGGTCCAGATTTGATTTCAAAATTAGATCAATCATGGGTTTTATATTAATTTTCAAAATTATATCAATCATGGGTTTTTTCATCTAAAAATCTTATTTGTTTTCTCAGATTCAATAGTTATATAGTATATGAACAAACCATCCTTTATTCGGCAATGACAATGAATGTATGTGTATATTTCCTCACTATTTAATTTTATAATTAGGTAATATCTTGTGTTGTGCAATTAATAAATTTATATAATTAATTTCTGTTTATTATCACATGTTAAAAAATATAATCTACCATGTGCTATCCGCGTTAAGGTTAAGAAACTCATCAACATTAATTAGGTTTGATAAACTTATAAAAAATAGACGAATAAAAACTGAATAGAGTTTAAAGATTACTTCTTTGAATGTCGAATACAAGAAGTAAGACTTTACCTTAATAGATCTTAGAGTAAATAAGATAAAAGAGAGAGATTTGATGGATTTTAAAGCTTTGGATCTAGGTAGAAGATGACTGCTGCGTTTCTAGGGTTCTCCTTCAGCTTCTGCGTAGGTGCACAGAAATTTCACACCTACTTGTAGGGTTTTAGAACATGTATTTATAGGCCTCGGGAAGTAGAAAGTCGGTTTACGATTTTTCGGACAAAACTACGTAGTTTCATTAAGTGAAACCGACAAGATTGCTGGACCGGGTGCGAGGCTTTCCAACCGTGCTCCTCTTGAAGCTCTAGACCGGTCACGATCTTTGTGACTGGTCCCAACAGAGACTTCACCACCGATCGCACGCCTTGCAACCGGTCTCGGGCATGACTTCACTCAATCGGTTGTAGACTTCGTTTGGTTGACTGGATTGAGTTGAATCTTCCTCCATAGTAATATTTACTCTTCTAAATTTCCATAGAGTCCAAGAACTCTGAATTTGCTTCACGGGAAGGCCTCCAACGGTCGCTAAACTCAATTGATATATGATCGCCTTTTGGTGTTATTTGTTCCAAAACTCTTAAAACCTTCTTGATTCCATATTTACTTAATGTCATGTTATCACTTATTGTAAACAACAACACATCATATATCCTAATTACTTGTAAATAGAGGATTATCAGCTACCTGGCTTATTGCGGAACACATGACCACACATGCGAAGAAAACAAATGGACACTCAGCTACCTGACTTATATGTATTACATGCCCACATGTACAAAGTATATGACATCATGTCGTCAACCCCATACACATAAAATCTCAGTTAATCGGTGGTCGGACACCGGCGTTGACCCAGCGTTGACTAATCGGAACCGAAAAAACGACCCTATCCAGACCTAATGACCCAACCGAAACACCCAACACGGACTTAATGACCAAACCCAGAATTTAATGGGCCTAATTTAATTAAACATTTGGCCCAACTATTCTTCTTCTCCTTCTCAACAATTGTCGTGAGATTTATCCCAATATCTACAATTAGGGTTCTTCATCTGGATTCGAAGAAGGAGAGAAGATGGAAGTAAGCTCGAGATCGACGAGTAGCTTTGTGAGTAATTCTGGAGTTCGGAAAGTGTGTGAATATAGATTGCCGGCAAAGATCTTCAAATCCAAAACGGAGAAAAATCCAAATCGAAGGTTCTTTGGGTGTCAGTTGTACAAGAAAGGTGGTAATGCTCACTGCAAATTCTTTAGGTGGCTCGACGAAGAGGTGATAGGTTGGCCGAAAAGAGCTTTGGTAGAAGCTCAATCTGAAATTAAAGAGAAGACTAAGAAGATTAAAGAACTTAATGCGACAATTTGGAGCTTCGTGGTGATTTGGACAGGCAAAACTTGGAGATATCATCAATTGATACGGAAGATGAAGAGAAGATTTCGATTGAGCTTGGATTAAAGAAAAAGATTGATGAAATGGAAACAATTGTGTATCGTCAATGCATCATCATCACGGGATTGCTTGTATGTGTCGTTGGCCATTGTCTTTGGTTGAACATTGTTAGTGATGTTTGAATTTGGTTTGGTTTGTGACTTGTAATGACTTTTGTTAGTGTATTACTACTTTGCTAATGAAAATGTGTTTGGAAAAGCTATTAGAATACATGAACAAAACAAAGCATCAAGTGTTTAAGTCACCTAAAAGAAGAACAAAATACTTAGCCGATTGAAGGGTTTAAGGTTACCAATACAAGACCAAATGCCCAAATACAAGACACACATGACCAAAATACAATGCCGATTCAAGTGTCACCAAAAACAAGACCCACATGACCACCAAGCCGATTAAAGTGTTTAACTTCCAAAAAACAAACCTTCTACATACCATCTCCATCCTAATAGTAACCTCATCCAAATAGTAACCTAGAAAGAAAGTTTGGCTGAGGTGCGGATGAAGAAACATCTTGCACTTCAGCGTGATCTTGAGCTTCCTGCTGTTTCATTGCTGCCATTGCCGCTTCCATTCCAGCTTGATCCTGAGCTTCAGTTATTGGTTGTTCCATGGCTGCCAATGATGCTTGCATTTCAGCTTGATCTTGAGCTTCCAGTTGAGGGGCCTCCTTTAGTTTCCGTCTCTTTGCCCTACTCTCCGCAGATTATTGAAACGCAAAAAAGACATCAATACAAAACCAAAATAACACAGAAGTAATGATAGAGTATTACCTCATGAGGACACCTTCTTGAATTATGACCCGCTTCACCACAGAGACCACAATGCACCACTCTTCGTGCCCGACTAACTTTGAATTCAGAATCTGCAGACTTCTTTTTACGTGGTGATTCATTAAGACCCTTGATCCTTGCCTTACCAGGAGGGCTACTTGCAAGACGTTTGTAAGGCGGTGCAGCAATCCGTGGTCTTCCAGAATCCTTCTAGAATTTAGATCCATTAACACGCTTTAAACCTCTCCTTTAAGTCTCTTGCCATTTCTCAGACAAGTAGTAGTCTGAGATATAGTCCTCCACTTCCAAATTCATTTCTCTGATTGCACATACATCATGGCGACACGGGATACCAGTCAAATCCCACTTCCTGCATACACAAGTATGCGCACTCAAACTCACTGAATATCCAATCCCAAACTCAACAATCTCAAACTCTCCTCTTGTGCTTGTAACCATTGCACAATATTGAGCTTCATCACAAGACTTCGCCACTTCTTGCCTTGCCTTTTTTGTGTGTTTTGGAGTTTATTTTCCAGCAATAATGCACCTGTTGGCACTTGGCAACCCTTTGCATAGCATACCTTCTTATCAGCTCTAACATATGGACAAATGGATTCCTCCTTGCAATCTTCAAAGTTCTGTTGTAGGACTCAGTATGATTGTTGTGTGTATCAGCACAACAACATCCAACCCTAATGAATGCCCTGCACCATGTAGTTGGATCCTTTTGGAGTAAAGTTTGAAAAGCCTGCGGATCAAACTCCTTAAAAATCTACAAATTTTCCTTATAATCTGCTTCGTTGTAGCTGCTTGCAACTCTCCAGAACAATGGCTTCAACATGTCCGCTTTGTGAGATTTCTTCAAGTTTGAGTAGATGTGTCGAGCACAGGCTCTATGCTCCGCCATTGGTAACTCAGTTGCAACACCATGAATCAATCCTCTGTGCATGTTAGAAATGAGAGTGAGGTTCTCATCTGACCCCAAGTCCAAGTCTTCCTTTAGCTTACGCACAAACCATTCCCAATTAGGATTGTTCTCACAATCCACTACAGCCCATGCTATTGGAAAGATCTGGTTATTAGGATCCGTTCCTACAACAGTAAGCATCATCCCTTTCATGGAGTGCTTCAAGAATGGGCCATCAAGACCAATGATTGGTCGACAATTCTTCTTCCAGGAACTCTTCAGCGCCTCAAAACAAATGTACATTTGGTGGAATGCTTCACTGCCATTAGCCGTTGTTGTTGTATTAATCTCTATTGTAGTTTCTGGATTGGTCCTTTAAGATAACATAAGAAACAAGTTAGTCAAACAAGATAACATTAGAACAAGTTAGTGAAATAAGTTAAAAAAGACAAGTAAACAAAGAGTAACTTACTCAATTAGCTGCAGCTCATAGTCTCTCAATCTTGCAAATTGTTCATCACATTCAGCTTGTAGCTTGTCAAAGACACGTCTCCTAGCAACTTTAGCCTGATTTAGTGAGATGATAATATTGTACCTCCTCTTCATCTCATCTTTTATCTCTGGTCCACTCATCTACGAATTTCTTCTAATATCTTCTAAAAAGAGATTAGCAATAACATGAGCCTTTATAATTTCACACCTTCCTGTTGGATGACATTGATGATTATAATGATAAGTCTTCACCATCCACTTAGCAAGAGGATTCTCCATAGCACAATAGATTTTCCATCCGCAGCCTTTACCTTTACATCTAGCACCAAGCTTGTCCTTCTCCCACCTACCATAGACAACATTCCTCCTGTTCTTCAAGACATATTTGACCACATTCTTCTTAAATTAACTCCCACTATAGAACAATTGCTTCAAACTGAACACACCATCTAGTTCACCATTTTTAACCATCATCTGTGCTTGTGCTTCCTCATCACCAGACTCATCATCAGTTGCGGGATATACATCGTCTTCATCTGGAATCTGTTCCTCGTAATTTTGATTGTTGAAAACTTGTATATCCTCCTCAATAATCTATGGTTCCTCGTCAACAATTTCATCATCAGAATCTGATGATTCATATAAACCTCCATCTGATTTCTGACCTTCACTGTCTTCTTCTTCAACCAAATTCTGCTGAATAACTGATTTCGCTTCTTTTCTAAGTCACTTAAGACCTTCTTAGCAGCTTCTTCAACGACCTACTTAGCAGCTTCTTCTAAGGTTTCAAGAGATTCATCTTCTTTTTTTCAAAATAGATGTCTATCTCACCCATTCAACGTCCTTTTGCAACCAACTTCTTCTTATTAGCATCCACATCCTCCCATAGAGGCTTCCTGTCTGATACGTCCTCAAAAGGCAGCTTATACCACATCTTCCCAAGGTTCTTAACTCTTTTCTCAAGCATTTTTAACACTACATCTTGGAAGATAGTGATGGAATCCACCTTAAATTTTTCAACAGTTCCATCAACGTATTCTAACACTCCACCTATTGGTCTGAATTTGCTAGAATGATGGCAATACACCTTCACTGTAATGTTCCTACTACAAAAATAAAAATTAAAAAACAATGTCAGTCCAATAATAGAAGAACAGTGTCTGCAACTTGTTTTTAAACTAAATAAAGGTCATAAAAACGACAAAGACATGTTCACTCACTGACAAAGGAATTAAGCCACGAGTAAAGGAATCAAGCAAAGTTTTTCTTCTTCTTTCGAGTAAAGGAAAACCCGAAATAAGCCCTATAAAGTCCCCGACAACATCCCCACATACCCAAATTTTCGGACCCATACCACTAAAAAAGCAAAAAACAATTGAAAAATACCTCATTCCAACGAGAATCAATCCACGACTCAGCCTGCTTTATCGATTTCACCGGATTCTTCACTATCGACGAAATCCCTTCTCCTTTTCTCTCGCGAAAACCCTAGGTCAAAGAGGATTTTTCTTTCACCACATAGGAAGAAGACGACGCGTTTTACTTTTACGAGATGGGTAATGAGATCCTGAATTGGACTGGGCCAAATGTTTACTTTTTATTTAATTCAATTCGGCCTACTTAAATAACGAGACCCATTAAGTGTTTATTTTAACTCGGCCCATTAAATTCTGGGTTTGGTCATTCAATCCGGGTCGGGTGTTTCAGTTGGGTCATTAAGTCTGGATCAGGTCGTTTTTCCGGTGCCGATTAGTAAACGCTGATTCAACGCTGGAGTCTGACCACCGATTAACTCTGAGATTTTATGTGTATGGGGTTGACATGACGTCATATACTTTGTACATGTGGGCATGTAATACATATAGGTTAGGTAGCTGAGTATTCTTTTGTTTACTTTGCATGTGTGGTCATGTATTCCGCAATAAGCCAGGTAGCTGGCAATCTTTTTTCCTTATCTTTACTCTCTTAGCTTCTTCACTCTTAAATCATAAACCATTATAGTTTTGCATCTTCAACTATTACCCTCTCATAATTCTCCTCTTAATTCTCCGTTTCTCTCTTGCTTCTTGTGTTCCCTCCTCTTCTGATCCTTCTTTGTAGAATTCTATATCTCTCATTTCTCGGCTTGTTAAGGTGTATGCTGATTTTATTATTTTAAGTACCGTTCGTATATATATATATATAATAATAAAATATTAAATGGTACATAAAATAATATAATATTAAAAAAATAACTCAAATCAGCACATACCTTAACAAACTGAAAAATTAGATCCAAAATTATACAAAAAAAAAAAAGATTGAAGGAGGAGAGAAAACATGAAACAGGAGAGAAACAGACAATTAAGAGAAAAATTACGAACGCGAAATGGTTGAAGTAGCAAAACTATAATAGTTTAGGTGATATTTGAGAGTGAAGAAGAGCGGAAATATAATCCTCTATTTAAAGGAAATTAAGATGATATGTTGTTGTTTACAAAAAGAATAATGGCCGTTAGATTCATCTCTACCGTCCAATTTTGAGTCATTTAAAAACTCGAGATTTTTTTCTTTATTATTCAATGTATCTTAGTCCAACATATATGTGAAATATCTCTACTTTCCTATTTTAAATCATATTTCTACATATTTGTAGTTTATTCAACTCTGTCTAAAAAGTAAATGGTTTTACATAAAGTATTAAGTATTACGCGCTAAAAATAAATTCTAAATATGACTTTAGAATTTTGCATTTTAAGAAGATATTTTTGTAGAAAGATTTGACTAATTTGTATTAAGTATCACACCCTATAATTAAATTATTAACTGATAGAAAAATTTAACTAATGTTTAATAAAATATGATAAAAATTTAATTTTTTAAAAATTTTATGTCTTAAAATAAGTTTTTTTTTATATAATCAATATCTTTGTAGAACCAATTACGAATAAAAAATAATTATTATATCTAGAAAATAACACAAAATGGTGAAAGCTTCATCGTTGCATCGATTTTCCTGCCTCTCTCTACCGTTTCTGTCTCTGTTTGATCTTCATCGAATTGAAGGTTTGTGTGTAACACTCCTGTTTCAGAAATACGGTGGTGCATGCAAAGAGGTTTAAAAGAATTGATATGGCCACCTATATCACCAAAGTGCATATATATTTTCGGTCAAACGTTTTGAGAGAAACTCCACAGTTAAACGTCCTTGAACTACATCAATTTAAGGATGGGTGACCTTCTGGTAACTGATTGTCGGAACTATGTGAGTGAGAATAAAATACAGGGAAATGTCATGTGGTGTTTTGTAGGATCGGTAAACATGTATTTAAAGCCTCTTGGACGGAGTGGACCGTCCGTCAGATAGGGGTGGGGCCCAGAGGTCTGAGAAATGACATGGATGCTAACTGGTAGGAGCGGTCGGAAAGTTACAAGTAATATCAAAGATGAACTAATATGTGTGTTGAGTCAGGAGATCTCACATCGTCAAGGCTGACGGTCTTTGTAACATCTCAAACCAAGAATGGGGTGGTGTCGATCGCCACCAGGTAGAGTCGCTCGACACCATTAATTTCAAGATTGATCCCCCAGTTTAGTCAGAAGATAGGTGGTGATCGAGTATACCAGTGGTGACAAAGGAAAAATAATAAAACTTAGCAGCAGGTAACAGAGCAAACGAATAATCAGATAAGTGACAGATAAATCAAATAGACGAGAAATTCCTAAGATGGGGTAATCGAATAATATGGTCTCCTTAGCCTCTTCTGGTGGTTAAAAAAACGCAATCAAGTTATCCTTAGACAACAGGTTCAACAACTGATCAATTCACTACCGTGATAGAAATCCTCAAACAAAGCTAACCTAGACCTAATTCCCATTAGCAGAATCTAACTATGCATGCAATAAGATTCAACCTATTAAAGTCGATAAACGCTCTAAATGGCCAATCCTCTGGATAGAGATGAATATCTCTAGAATTAGTGGTATTCCATCAAACACCTTATGAGTTGAGCAGTAAGTACAACTAATCCAGAATGGATTCAATCAATTCTACACTTAACCATCTAACAAACTAAGGATCCCACAACTCTTCTATCCCATCCTCAAGAATCCTAATCATTACTCAGATAACATACTAAGATACATAAACTCAGAAATCAATGAAACTTGCATAACTTAAATCAAAGGAAAAGAAATAGAAATGTAGAAGAAATCAAATGCAAAATTTCAATAACTCAAAAGCAATTTGAATTACAAAGTTGCATAAGCAAAAGCGACGTAGGACTTAGGTTAAACTAGAACAAAACAAGATGTCATGGAAAAAATCCTTCGAGGTTTAGTTATAAGAAAAATTAGGAAAAACGATAAGAGAGGAAGTTTGTTAGTCAACTCGACCAACTTATCGAATAAGTGGATCGAGTAAATGATGGGCTAAAATGGGCTTCAACATCGAGTAAAGCTTCAAACTGTGATCGAGCACTTCCTTTTTCTCCTCTTCTCTTTCTTATGCTCAGGTTGTCTGGTTAAGTGCAGGTCAAGCAGAGGGATCGAGTAGTGCGATCGAGTAGATAATGTTGAGTGATCTGGTGAGTTCTGCAGCTCCTACTCGATCGCGAGATCAAGTAGGTGATCGAGTATACTGCTCTGGATGGACTGTTGAGCGGACTGCTTCTCCTTCTGGCAGTATGATCGAGCAGATTGGTCGAGTATGCTGTCAGGATGGACTGCTGAGCTGACTGCTTCACTTCTAGTAGTGTGATAAAGCATGGTGATCGAGTAGATGATGATTCTGCTATGATTCTCCTTTGTTTGCGCATCAATAGCCCCAAAATACCTGAAACAACTCTAAGACGCAGATTGTATGCAAGACTAATGCAAAATACACCTAATCATGCAAAGTATGCAAAACGATGATGAATGATATGAAAGATGAATGAAACTAGATTCAAAATGATGATAAATTAATGCATAAAACATGCAAATTATAGACATATCATTGTTGGAACCTTGTTTATAAAATGTTAGGATTGCTGGTTATTACTAGTTATGTTGATTTATTCATTCTTGAGAATTAAAGTTTTATTATTGATTATTATTTGGTTTATTGGTAGATTTAATTAAGTATTTATGGGAATATTTAGCTATGATGTTTTTCAAAAACAAAAACGGGTAAGGACGTCACAATTGGTATCAGAGCGTTTACGTTTCTATAACAATTTAGGGAATTTATTTCGGGATTGATTGAATTTATGTAGTGTTTGATGCATGCTGTAAACCATTATTTGATTGTTCTTAAAAAAATTGATTATGTGTAGTTAGTCAATTTTTAATGGGCATGGAGTATTAGAATCATCTTTTCGAGCCTTCATTGAAATTCTTTGATAAGTTGTTTTGTGTTTTTGGTCTGATGTCTTAGTGTTCTTAGCTTCTGCATGTGAAAGTGTAGTTGGATATCGTTTGGATCTCGGAGCTAGTGGTCATGGTCATGGTCATGGTCATGGTCGTGGTCGTTGGCGTGGTCGGATGTCGTCGAGATCTGGTAGCGGATAAGAGAGTGGCACAGAGTGCTACGGTTGAGCAGGTCGGGAGTCTACAGGCGGATCGAGATGAATCTGAGGGTGTAATCGGTGGAGTGTCGGTGTGGCTGGGGTTCCAGCAGATGTTGCAGGTGTGGGAGCGGATGTTGCTCAGGGTCGAGATGACCACATTGCAGACTTGTAGACGAGGCTGTTGGAGAAGCTACCATAGATGATACCGTGAGTGGCAGAGGTGCATCCGAGAATTGCGGTTGCAGGGGAGCTCCCATCTTACATCAAGATGATGGAGCATATGCAAAAGATTGGCACATAGCTCTTAAGACGGTGCCATGCCTGAGGAGGCATATGAGAGGTTGATGCGGTTGGAGCATAATTTCCGCTCAACAAGGTGCCAAGAGGGGTACCTGGTTGACCTTGTAGTCTACTATGTAGGATGATGCACATCTTCGTTGGAGGGGTGTGGCAGCTAGGAAAGCTCACGTAGGGATAATCTAGGTGGACTTTGTGGCAGAGTATAAGGCGTTAAACCTGTTGGAGGGGTGGTTTCAGAGTTGTCTCGGGGGACTCGGACGATTTGTGAGTATCAGGTAGAGTTAAACCGTCTTAGTGTGTATGTTGGTCGAGCCATGGACGGTGAGCACGCCCGAGTGTGGAGAGCTTTTAGAGGTCTTTGCGCTGAGTTGAGGAACTTTTGTTTTATGAGATTATTCGGTATGACTATGGAGTTGGTCGAGACGGCCGCAATGGAGAAAGGTCTGAGGGATGAGGTGGTAGTGGCCAGCCCAACCCTTCTCGTAAGAAAGCCTCAACAGTAGTTCAGTAAGTGGGATGAGAATCAAAGAGTTAGTCATGGCGTTCAGGGATGCTTTGGATGCAGAAACAATGACCACTGAGTGGCGAACTATCATCAGAAGAGTGGTGCGGATTCGGGTGTGCTTTCACTACAAGGAGGCGGGGCATATCAAGCCCAAGTATCCCAAGTTACAGCAAAGAGAGGTGGCAGTGGTGACAGCGACCGTACCAATACCACTAGAGAAGCATATTGCAGTAGCACCTCGGGTGTACTCTATCGGAGAGGTGGGTAGACCGAGTACCAGACCGATCGCATGTAAACTTCTAGATTTATATGGGTTAAATTCTAGGTTTTTGTAAATTGTTTTATTTTTGTGGCGTGTAAAAGTTCTTAGCATGTGAGAATTGTGTAGTGATCTTAATTATGGGAGGTATTGAGTCTCACGTGCTTTTTGATTCAGAAGCGTTGCATTTTTTTGTGACTCCAGAGTTTGTCGAGCGCGGCAATATTGATGGAGAACCCGACACGGAGTTTGTCGAG